ATGCTACCACGACCTCACAGAATATCGGCGTTGAGTGGAAGATCTGCTTCTGCGTATCGTCTGGTGACCGGAGGCCCAATTTCCCTCCCCCCATCAACATGGTAGCCTAGTTAAATCTAATACCACCCAGCAGCCCTGGTAATGGAGAATCTCTCGCTGAGCATATGTTACCAAGCTACTCCGCTCCTGAGCTCCTCCCGGGTATTCTTGGGGGGGGGGATTTCGGTCAAAACAATAGATGCTTGGAGCAAGCTAAGCAATAAGACCAAGGCGACACCTGCCATGCTATCCGTGAATTTCTGCACCATCAGGGGACTTTACTTGAAACAAAACGCCATCCACTACTATCTCGAGATAGCGCACCCGGCTTTGCTCTTTGTGACCGAGACGCAGGTGTCCTCACCGGCTGATACATCGTATCTCTCCTACCCAGGTTACAAATTGGAACACTCCTTTGTGCCTCGGGCTGGAGTTTGGGTATGCGTCAGAGAGGACATCTGTTCTTGACGCATCGGCAGTCTTGAAGGTTCGGACTTGTCCATCCATTGGCTACGCGTGGACAGCGACGACCATCCGAGCATCTACGAGTGCCTCTATAGACCGACTCATCGGCCATGTCCAAATGGCTATAGATTCCTTCCGTAGAGATCGTGATCCTTGGCGATTTTAACGCCCACCACGCCAAATGGCTCGGTTCACGTTTAACTCATTATGCAGTTAGATCTGTTTATGACTCTGCCTTTGCATATGGTTTGGCACAACTGATTACTTCGCCTACGCGGATTCCAGATGTGGAGGGTCGTGCACCTTCCCTATTGGACCTTCTGCTGCCCACTCATCCAGACGGATATCAGGTCTCCGTCGACACCTCTCTTAGCTCCTCGAACCATTGTCTAGTCCGGAGTGTGGTGCCATCACGCTACCATCGCGGTTGCATTCTGCTGGTTGTCGCTGTGTTTGGGACTATAGGTCAGCTGATCGAGACGGGATACGGATTTGTACGTCATTTTTTTTGCATCCTATCCTTAGGTATGGGTTTGCTTCTCGCCGCACGATTCTAACGTTGTTGCTAATTCTGTCGCAAACACAAAAAAAGCAATAAGTTTCTCCATAATTTTTTAAAAGTATTATACTCGTAGAACGTGAGGTCTGTAAGCGCTCACAACAATGAGGTGCTCAAACTCAACACATGACATTTCTACAGTTCTCTCAACAGAGAGACTCACAATATCTTTATTTTCTTTAAATGATAATAATTTACTATCTAATATATTAAGGAGCCACTTCTTATTACCGTTTCTCTATTGAAAAAACTGACCACGTGTAGATTACTGAAGTTAAACATAGTTATATGCCTTAATCAATGTTCAGTAATACATAAAATATCAATATTGTTGTTGTTTAAGAACAATTCAATTTTGAGCTCTTTACCAACCTAACCTAACTTAACCAGTACGGACTGGTAATTGCAAATAAAATTCGCCGATTAGAAGATCTCATGACCAAGCGCGCAAGATATCTAACATCATTTTCTAAAACGTTGTCGTGACCACAATCTCATTCCTACGTGTGTCAAAATATCTACTAAAAAGGACATTAGGGGAAGCGCTAAGATCTTAAATCAGACAAGTAAAAAGTTGTTAAGAACGGTGATTCAGAAAAAACGGTTCGAATTACGTACAAATCATAAATAATACCATAGACAATTTGTCTAGTGAGTTAAAGACAGTTTTAACGATATTTGATTTTAATAATTGCATTGAAACTTTAAACAAACGCGAAATATCGATATATAATGAATGAAAAGACAAACAAATAGAAAAATACCAAAAATTAACTATCAAATCACGTACGTGCTTTGTATATTTTGATGCACCAGGTGTAAACATTTTTTTATCATTTTGTCGAGTCATACAATTAAGGATTTGTAAGCAACATTGTTAATTATTTAAATTATTACAACTGCTAGAAATTACCTGTATTGTCTTATTTTCTAATTTAATTTACTTGAAGCTAATTCCAAATTGCATATCTTTATGCCGCTCAATGGAAGCAGATGTCTTGGTAGCCAAGTTCTTGTATAAGTTAATTTATATAAATATTTAGATAGCACATTTTATATGTACCCAGTATGCAATGTAAACAAGATAATTTTATGTACCTACATTTAAAGTATTTAGATACTCATTATATTTGATTAATTGATTTTTGTTTACATTAACAATCCTTGTTCTTGCTTCAAGAGAATCACGTACCGCCACTATGTTGCCGCCTAGTTCAAGTGCTGCGCCTATTTCCCGGAACGGATGGTATATCTAGGGTTACGACCATCAGAACAACAAAATGATATGCAACGACCACTAGTGAAATCGTGTTCTCTTACTTCATACGATCAAAGCATTATTTGAAAGTGTTCTTTCAACGGGTGGTACGAGTATGTCAAAGCGCCTGTTAAAGTTAAATAGCAAAAATATTTGGGCGCTTCGAAATGGCATTAATCGGTGACAGGACAATTTTATCTCTCTTGTATCGTGGCGTACTAGCAGTAGCAGTCTTGTCAAAGTAAGCATATTAAAATAATTAGTTTATCGCATCTTTTATTTGCCACCGAATGTTAACTAAGAACGGTCTTAATACTTATCATAAATAAAAATATATTTTGAAGTGTTTGTATTTATTTTAACAGATAAAAAATTATATTTTAATTTATAGGAGTCACGCCAATTTAACCTGTGACACTGCTAAACTGATAAATGATAATGAATGAACCTGCCCACGCTAATTGCGTAAGCAAGGCAAGGGCAAGTTAACATTCGCTCTCATATTTTTATTATTATTAACAATTAGCCTACAGAATAATTTCTAATTAGTACATATAGATTTCTAATCATTAATCTATATGTACTCGTAATAAAGGATAACCCGAGAATAACATAAGATAATAAATAAGTTTATCTATGTGCGTAAGCTTATGTAATAACTTAAAAACATTAAATAAGTACCAGATTATTTAAATTAATTTTGTATGAAGGTTTAAGTGATAATAACTTCCATAGAATTAAGGATTCTGATAGCCATAAATGTAAGTGTATAAAAAATTTGCATGCAGTGTATAACCGTAGCAAAACATACTGATCTTAAGATCGTTTTGTAAAATATTAGGTATTAATACCATGTTTTATGCAAATAAAATATTATTATTATACAAAGAAAACTTATTAATTACCAGTTAACATCATATCGATTAGTGTTTCCGCTTAATGTAAATTTTAATGTAGGTACTTTTCATCATGTGTTAGTGCGGTATAAAAATAATACCCGAATTTAAAGTGAGCAAGTCGCGTAACCTTTACAGGTCCCAACCTCTCCGTTTCGCGTTTGAAATGTGCGTGTCACAAAAGCATGAAATTGATTTTACGATATGCATACAAATATGAGGCATGCGAGGTGTCGGTATTTGAAAGTAAACATAGTGTGGCTCAGGACAGGCGAGGGGCATGTGTGTATTTCAGTGAGGTTCATATCCATGCTTACTGTTCATACTCGATAATGCGCGCTCTATAGCTTGGTTATGTGTGTTCTAAGTCGCTGGCGTAATATGTCAATCGTTGTGATTTTTCTTTTAATTTCATCAAAGTGACTTAGTGGAATTTCAACAATTACCCATTAGATGTTTGCATGATTTCCGTTTCCACATTGCTTGCGCTTCGTAAGCATAGTCCATTTTCCAAAACCAAACAAGAAAAAGTAAAAAAAATACATCATACACGTCAAATATATGTTGTACAAATACAATAAAAAAGTCACGAATCACCTTACACAAAGGCAACCATAGAAAGTAGAAAATACAGTCAGTCTGAAAAAAATTTGAACTACTAGTACCTAATATTGTAATGTGTACAATGGACTATGGGAAGTCATCAGAAATACATAAAGTTACAATAATTTTAAGTGACAAAAAATTGTAAAAGTTTATATTATTAAATCATGTTTGATTTAATAATATAAGGCTGGCCAATGTTTATATTTATTATGTTAAATCAAGATAATTTACCACATAATATTATGCAAAATAAAGAGTGCATATTATATATAGTAGGTGTTTTATAGTAAGTGTGGAGAAACCGACACCGTTTTAACTGGTTTCGAGGTATTTTTCTTGGTCCTCAGCTGTGACAATGCATCTACATTTTGATTCTTAATCGAGGTTCTATGGGCACAGTATCGACTTAGCATCAGAATAATGTGTTTGGTTGTTATTCTTATTCTATAACAAGTGATAAAATAAAATGAGAACATCATTAATGTAGTCTAAGTCAATTAAATACGCATAATTAAGGATAACTCAAAAACTATTAGTAAGATCTTGATCAAATTCTTATGGTACTACATGAGAACTACCAGCTTTCAAATAAAGAAAAGAATCATTAAAATAGGTTCACTTAGAAAAAAACTCTGAGGTAACACACATAAAAAATACAATCGAATTGAGTACCTCCTTCTTTGTTGAAGTCAGTTAAAAAGAGTTTTGAAACAAAATTTAGGAATTCCACGCGAGCAAAGCAACGGGCAGAAGTGTGTAATTGAATACTTATTTCTAAAAACATGTGTTTTCGGTTTATCACAATAGTTTTAAACCGAAAATACAAGTCTAGTAATATATAAGCCGTTGTAGTTAAAGGTAAAAAAAAAAAAAACACTAGCTGTAAATTTCACAATAAGCGAGTATCAGAATTTCGATCCCCGGCGGAAACCATTGAAATATATATGAGTTATACCTATGTTTTAAATAATGATAATACTAATCTATAATCATGACATTTATAAGTTTTTAAAAATGATAAGATGTTAAAAACTTTTATCAAAACTTGATTGTGGGCGTAAATCACGAGGAAAAAATTTTATCTAACCTCAAGTTATCAGGTTTCTTACTATATAAGTAAACGGATTGCTATCATTTATGTTTTTATGTACAGTGTACGCATCAATAATAAAACGAAATGTTGATTCAGGCGTTAATTTTATTGACCACTGTAGTGCTTTACTTCATTCATTACTTCGGTAAATATAACGAAAGTTACTGGAAACAACGTGGTGTTGAATTTTATCCGAGAAATAAAATCTGGGGTCCATTATGGGACTTCGTTTTTGGTGAGCGGGCGTTTTTTGAGGTACTCGGTGATATTTATAAAAAATATCCTGATGCACCCGCCGTTGGTATTGGTTCTGTAAGTTCTCCGACTGTGCTTGTCAGAGATTCAACAAATATACAACACATTATGAAACTGGATTTTGAGTCCTTCTACCACAAAGGAGTTGAAGTACAACCAGGAGACCGTTTAGCCGATGGTATTCTATTTATGAACGGAATGCGGTGGAAGCTAATGCGACAAAATATCACGCCTTTATTTAGTGTCGCAAAACTTAAGAATATGTACAGTGTTATGGACAAAAGTGCTCAAGACTTTGTAAAATATTTGAATAATCATCCAGAGAAATTAAAAGGAAATGTTTTTGAAACCCTCTCTACTTTCTGTAGTGCAGCAATTGGTGCTTCAATATTTGGTATTACTACGGAGTCCATCTTTGATTCACCTTTTCTTCGCATGGTCCAAAATGCACTCGAGCCTACATTTTGGACAAATTTAAGGTTTTCAATTTTACTCGTCAGTCCGTGGTTATTCCGGAAGCTGAAGCTGGCGTTATTCGCAGAGCATGAAACATTTTTCATTAACGCTGTAAAACAGCTGATACGAAAAAGGGAAAAGGAAAGTGTAAGGAAACCCGATTTTGCAGATATATGCATAAATTTACAAAAGAAAGGAGAAATAAAAGATGGTGAAACTGGATACAGCATTGAGCCCACTGATGAGCTTATGGCAGCTCAAGCATTTTTCTTTTTCACAGCTGGTGTTGAACCTAGTGCAACAACTTTGTTATTTACGTTAATTGAACTAGGTCGTCACCCAGATGTATTGAAGCGGGTCCATGATGAAATTGATGACATCTTTAAGAAGTATAATAACAATCCGACTTATGAGTGCCTGTACGATGCGAAATATCTTGAGATGGTTCTGAATGAAAGTCTGAGAATGTATCCTCCTATTGGTTTACTCACAAGAAAATGCGTGAAAGATTCCGTACTTCCCATTGGGAACATCAAAATAGAAAGAGGAACAAAATTATTACTAAGTACTTTCGAATTTCAACGTGATCCAAAGCTTTTTCCAGGACCGGACACATTTAATCCGGAAAGATTTTCACGGGAATTTGAAACATTAAATGATCACGCGTTCATGCCTTTTGGAACAGGAAAAAGAAATTGTATTGGAGAGAGATTCGCCCGAATACTAATAATGATTTGTTTAATATATCTACTTCGATACTTTACAGTAAAAGCTCACGTTCAAGGCGATGCAATTAAGTATAAGAAAGAACAGTTTCAGGTTAGACCCTCAAATGCTGACGTAGAATTTATACCAAGGAATACCGAATTGAAGCCATAAAACAATCATATTAAACAAATTTTATAAGCAGTGTATCGTTTATATATGTTAAATTAAAGTTTTATCAGCCAAGGCAGTACATAACTGGATGAAACTGAATAGGTAGTATAGAATAAAATATTTTTATGAAAAGCTATAATAATATTATTATTTTATTTTTGACCTATGCAATGTGCCGTAAAAAATATATTGTGTCCATTTTTGAACGTACAGCGTTAAGAATGAGAATAAATGTACATATTTTATTTTATAAAATGTACATTGAATTTATTCCAAATAAATACAATGGCAATCATATTAGTTATAATCAACAATACATTTAGGTGAAATGACTTAGCTAACAAAAATAATAATTAGTAATAAATTACTACACAACATATTACATACTAGCTATGGCCGCGACTTGGTTCATGTGGAATTAGTACTTTTGTAATGATGAGTGACAATAATTTATTTGAACTAATAAATAATTTGAAATAATAATTCTGAATCAGACTTTTTACATTTGTGTCACATTAGTGTGCCATCGAGCTGTGAGATTGAGGGAATAGAAAGTGGACCAATGCTTTTTCACACTCTTGTGAACCATAATCCTGATCTATGCTATTAAAGTGTAATGAACTTGGCTTGGTACGTGTCATATAACATTATTACTCTATACCGAAAGGTTTGTACAAAATGTCTAAATATCCTGCATAGATGACTAGTCTCAGTTAAAATTAGTCGCCATGACCGAAATTCCCACTGGAGAATATTATTGATGGGTATGTTGAAAACAGTAAAAAAAGTAAAAATTTAAAAGTAATCAGCGCTGAAAATAGTTGACACTTAAATACTCATACCCTTGAAATATTAATATTACGCAATCAACAATGTAGGAAAATAATAAAACGTTTTAATATAGCATGCGAAGGTAACAAAATCATAAGTCTTTTAATTCAGCACAAAGACATCTAGTTGCAAATTGCAATAACACTTACCTATACACAATGATGTTCATTGACCTCCTAACGGATAGGTCTTAAGATGAACATGGACAAGGTAGGTATTAAGATGAATGAACAAAACAAAGATCATGTGCATATAACGTCCATGTCACACGTATGCCGGTAGTTGTTGGGAGCACTAAGCTTGAAGTAGTTGATGAGTGGGACCTGGGACAAATAGACCGACTAGGTAAGTGCAATTCCGACCGAGAGGTCGGTTGACGGATTCAACTCTGGGCAGCGTTTGGGAAATTACGACACATCTCCTCGTCAGGTTTACTTTAAAACCTGAAAACGAGTTTGTACAACCTGTGCGTGTTACCAGTGATAAGTTATGGATCTAAGATGTGGTCCTTCACTGCCAGCCGTATGAGGGAGCTCAAGGTCGCTCAGCGAGCTATGGAGAGGGCTATGCTCGAGTTTTCACTGCGTGATAAACTAAGAAATGAGGATATTGGCAGTAGAAATATAGTGACTGATACAGCCCAACGGATTGTTAAGCTGAAGTGGCAATGGGCCAGCCATATAGCTCGAAGAATCGACAACCAATGGGGACAAAGGTTCTCGAGTGGCAGCCTCGTACCGGTAGGTGAAGTGTAGGGCGTCCCCTACTAAATGGAGTGAACACCTGGTAAGACATGCAGGAAGTCCATGGATGCAGGTGGCTCAGGACCGTTCTTTGTGACATTCCTTGAGAGATGCCTCTGTTGAGCAGTCGACTTGTGAAGGGCTGTAATGATGATGATGACACAATGATGAATAGACAAATTTACTGTTTTGTATAACAGCTTACACCTAGTACGCATTCCGGTATTCCCGATATTGCAACGGAGACCATCACAATTCAAACGTAAGCGTGGGCGTTGATTGCTGAATTGCGTCTGGAAGACGGGTGGTCTTTCGTAGGCATACTAATAACTGTTCTTTAGCTTAATGTTCTAGAATAAGAATTAAAATAGTTTTAGTTAGGATCCAAATATTATTATCGTACATTATTAGTCTTGAGTTTTGAATAAAGTCTTTTTATAAACGTCTTTGGGCAATTGCGAATCTTGACTACCTTTTAAAAGAGGGGTAGGGGGAGATTTTTATAAAGTTTTAGAATATGTATTATTTTCATAATTTAGTTTTACGGGTTTTACTAACACCATGCAAGTGTAAAACCATTTTTTCTACGCAAACTTTGTACACTTATCGAACACTTTCAGGTAAGATTTTCAGACAGTGAAAAAAAGCCGTAAGTTAAACTATTATAATCTCAAAGAATTACTACGCATTTTATAGCTACAAAAATCATTTATTAATTATTAATAAAATGAAATCGCTTAATAAATATGATTCGCAAAAAAAGTTTCTTAAAAGCTGGAACACCGTATTTTACTATTGTTCGCGACACTCACAGCACCAATTTGTAGCACATCGGTGCTGTGAGTACCACAGTACCTTTTCTTAGTAACAAAAAAAACAACAATTGTAGTCTTTGCAGTAAAGACCACAAATTAATCAAATGCTCTAAGTTCCAATCTCTTACTGTGGCAGACAAGCTGAAGCATGTAAGTGGAAAGAAACTATGTACTATTTGCCTAAATGGTCACCAACAGAACAAGAAATGTAGGTACAGCTTCTTCTGTTCCATTTGTAAAAATAAGTCACACAACACCCTTTTGCATGAGGCGCATATAGAGGACCAAACACTTATGCCTGGCTCCACTGTGTCCATGCACAACATCAAATCAAAGGACAGTGACTACGAAGTGCTACTACCCACAGTTAAGTTGAGGATTAGAAACAAAAATAGCAGCAGTGTCATTGTTAGAGCCATGTTAGATTCCGGCAAATCGTCAAACGTCATTTCGTACACTATCATTAGTTGACATGTTAGGTACATCTACATACAACCATTCAAAAAAAATTGTTACTATGTGGAAAACTTCAAACAAAGTTCAGAAAGGAGTAGATTTGTGTTTGGAGTCTCTCACAGAAAATTTCAATATCAATGTTATATGTTCAGTTGTTGATCAAATCAGCACTTTGCTACCGCAAAACAAAATCCAACTCAATACATTGTCCATTCCTTCCAATATAGTATTGTCAGATAAGGACTTTTAAGTTCACGGAGAGGTGTCCCTACTACTTGCTGCCAACGTGTTCTTCATGGTTATTCAAGATGGCAAGATTGAAGGGGGCCCATTGGATCCAGTGCTGATCAATAAGAGACTAGGCTACGTTGTCAGGTGATTTCAATCCAGTTACTTTAGTACACACTGCCATCGCCATGCATTCCATGACCATGCCCAATATGTGCATTGACGACCTAGTCAAAAAGTTCTGGGTGAACGAGCAGGTTCCTCAGTTATACAATGAATCTTTGCAAGAGCATGAAGTCTGTGAGGAGACATTTAAAAATACAGTCAAATTGTGAAATATTATTGCAGTTTGAAGTTAGTCTGCCTTTAAAAATTGACATTAATACAATTTCCCCCACCGGCTCATTTTCATTAGCTTTATGAAGATTTTATAATTTAGAAAAAAGATTCAAGAAGGGTCCTCTTTATTTTCAAATGTACAAGACATTTATCCAAGAGTACCTAAAGCTAGGTCATGCCAAGGTCATTGACCTCCAGTCAGCTGACATTAATACATCTCCTAAATATTTTTTGCCACACCTTGCTGTAGTGCGCACTGACAAGAAATTAAACAAGTTGCGCGTTGTTTTTGATGGCTCTGCCAAGCCAAAAAGCGCTGAGTATAGTTTGAATGACAATGAAACTCATGTGAATTATCACAGTGTTAATGATTCAGCTTTGACTATGTTAAATAACATTTCAAGCTTTCGAAAAATGGTCCGCGTTATGGCTTATGCTATGAGATTCATTGCCAAATGTAAAAGGTTGTCCACAGAGAAAGGAGTTCTCTCTGCGGTTGAGATCAAGGCAGCCACTCTGGGAGTAATTCAAGTAATACAACATCAGCATTTTCATGAAGAAATAAACTGTTTGAAAAAAGGTTATGATATCAAATCTCATCTCAAGTCATTGTATCCATTCATTGACAAAAATAACATTTTTAGATTTGGTAGTCGGCTTGAGCAGACACAACTCACTTACTCAAAAAAGTTTCCGATAATATTGCCCAAAAAAAGTCACGTGACCACTCTCATAATACGCAATGAGCATTTGAGTATGTTACACGCAGGTTTAAGGCTCACTATGAGCAGCCTTATACAAAAATATTGGATTGTAAACGCAGTTCGTGAAATAAAAAAGGTTATACATCGCTGTGTAAAATGTTTCAGAGTCAAGACCCGCGACTCGAAGCAGCTCATGGGGACCCTACCTTCTGCTCGGGTCACACCGGCAAGGCCGTTCCAAAAAATTGGATGCGATTTCTTCTGTCCAGTAGAGATCAAGCAATCCACCATCCGTCGCTCAATAATATCAAAAGGGTATGTAGCCGTATTTGTGAGTTTCTCCACCAGGGCTTTACACATGCAGGTGATGTCTGACTTGACCACGGACGGGTTCATGGCTGCGTTCAAACGACTCGTGTCACGTAGGGGTCTCCCCACAGATGTACATTGCGATAACGCAAGCACTTTTAAGGGTGCTAATAATCAGCTGATCAATATGTTCAATAAAGACTATTTATCCACTTATGGTGCCAGCAAGGGCATACAATTTCATTTTGCGCCTGCTTACAGCCCAAACTTTGGCAGCCTCTGGGAGGCTGCAGTTAAGTCTGCGAAGCATCACTTCAAAAGGGTCATAGGTACTGATAGCTTGATTTATGAGCAGCTTAACACCATCATTGTAGAGATAGAAGGCATTCTCAATTCTCGTCCTATAACGCCCATTTCGCAAGACCCACTCGACTTTTCCTTCCTTACGCCAGCCCATTTTCTTATCGGCTGTGCAGTCAACTCTGTGGCCGTGCCCGACGTCACGTCCATACCAACAAATAGGCTCCGCCTTTGGAGGAGATGCATGCAGGTACGGCAATACTTCTGTCAAGTTT